GGTTTGGGAACATCTTTGGGATTCAGTAAGACTTATGTTCAGTTTTTAGTACTTTCACATTGACACATCAAACTCAGAGTGTGTGCCATTAGAAGAATGTATCATTTTAAAAAAACAATGTTAACCTGACTATTCTATACTGTGTCCTACGTCAAATCTTAAAATATCCAAAATAAATTCAAAAGGCTGCTAGCATAAAATAAGTATAAAACAAATCTTTATAATACATGTATGTCTTCAAAAGGTAATGCTTCTTATGAGATGCAGTAATGGACTGAAATGTCTGACTTTAAATAAAAAAATACAATAGGATAAAAAAATAAATAAACATTTCTTAATACAATTGCACAGGTAAATAGCAATTTTATCCTATAGGTGTGTGAGAGCAAAAGTCTTCTGTGTCCAGAAATGGACATACCCCCTCTAAAGCAATAGTTGTTTGTCCACCTGATTCCACTATTGCACCGATGTATTCACATAGAAGAGATATAGAAAGGCCACGGAAGAATACATGAGAGCTATATTTAAACTAGCCAAAGAATTAAACAAATATCTTTCCCCAGCTCTGTGCATTTTGAAACAGAACATGCAAGCAAAATAAAGCTATTGGGTCTGTCCAACAAATGAAACATTTTAACACTTTTGTACAGAAAGCTATAGAGCAATACAATATCATTGCTTCCTTTTTTCTTAACAGACAGAGGTAAGCTCTGCATTAGTACTGATCTAGCTAGCAAGAGACTTTATGCCACTGTCAATGTTTAAAAGATGTCCTTTAATGAAACATCGAGAACATTTGCTATGCAAGCCCTAACCTCGAAAAAACAGCTATGAGAATACTAAATGGATAATACAATTAAATAACGGCTAGCAAAAAGGAAACTATTAAAGTCAAGAGATTACTTTAATGGTGTCATTAATGACATTAAGAGGGAGTTTTACTCAAAGAAACAAGATAGCTTTTCTTGCTTCTCTCTTTCTGTCTGCGCTAACAAATGAAAACATGTTTACTGGTGTTATAATGTCAAATATTGTATTAAATATTAATTAAGGAACTCCAAGACATAAAAAGTGTAAAGTTTTACTAATTCGGAGGCAGAAAAAGCACATAAAAGAATAATTATGTGAACAGATTATGGGGTTGATTTGCTAAAGACAAATAGGATGTTCACTTTGCAAGAGCATTTCCCCTTAGCTTAGTGAATGTGGTGAAAATTTACTTTGCAAAGACTATCGAATCACATGCATAGAAAAAAAAGTATTTTTGCTTGCACATGATTGGATGATGTCCATGCGGCTTCACTCTATTCACTAAGCTAAGAGAAAATTCCATTGCAAAGTGAACAGCCTATTTGCATTAGAGTAAACTAACACCAATGTGTCAGAAAAAATGGCAAAAACACAATTGCCATGAGAAATATTCATAAAGTAGTGAACGCAGAGAATGTGACATTTACCAATAATTCACTGCCAGTAAATCAAGCACTGTTATTCAAAATATATGCACCAGAAAGATACTCCCACAGGGAATGTTAGGTGAATGTCATTTTCACTGCTTTATAAATATACCCTCTAGTGTAAGAAAAACAACCTTTTCTATCTGAAATGACAATAATCTATTTGAATAGCTAAACTTGTTTATTTAAAACAAACAAACATATTTCATACATTGCTGCAATACATGCACATTTCCCTGTGTTCACTCTTTAAAGACCCTACAAGTGCAGAAAAATACCAGTTTATCTGCCAAACATGCCCTTAATTCTAAAGCCCTGTTGTTGTTGGCTCTGGTTGACAACACACAGCTTTTCTGTGGACTGAGAGTTGTCAGCCCTGCCCAGTGTCTTTTGCTAAACTACTCAACCCTGCCTATTTTCAGATCTTTATAAGATAAATCTAATTCTGTAGTTCAAGATAAGAACTAGGAAGGCTCTTTCAGATAACACATAAAGGGGAATTTGTGATTCATGTTCTTGCATATTTTGCATATCTTTGCTATTGCTAATCATATTCATATGCTGAATTCACTCATGTCTTGGGGACACCAGAGAAGAGATACTGCCATCGGAATTTCCCTCATTTAAAATGACCATTGCATAGTGCCATACACCTCCAATAAATTTTCTCTTATGTGCGACAAACAAAAAAATAAATTGAGGAATCCAGCTGCAGAAGAGCAACAGCTTTGATACGGCCTTAGGCCCCATTCACACCTGACCGTTTTGTAGCGCGTCCTACGCTCGATGAACGCTCTACAAAACGGTCAAAAAAATAAATAGCATTGTAGTCAATGGTATCGTTCCCACCTGTCCGTATTTCCGCCCGTCCCGAACGCACTACAAAACGGCCCACGCATGAAAAGGTCCCCGAGCGTTTTTTGCTGCGTATTGGTCCGTTTTGTAGGGCGTTTTCCATTTGTATACTGCCAAGTAGCCTTTAGAATCGCGCGACGGTCGCGCAACTTTTTTACCGCGAATCGCGGTAAAAAAAACGCGCGACAGACGCGCATATTACAATACGCATAGGTGTGAATGGGGCCTTATGCAAGGCACAAACTGCACAAACTTTCTGCACTGGATTCTCAGAGACTTACAGAATCATTGCAAGTGGTTACATTTCTGGTGCCCACTCACCGCTAAAGCTCTCTTTAAGTAGAATCTGGTCTTTTATTAATGCACAATGTGGTATTTTTAATGCAACATTGTAAAGAGATACTATTTTCATTCTGCAACTGGAAATAATACTGCAGGCCACACAAAAATATCGAGAGGAGAGAATCACACTTTCCTTCATTCCAATAGGTTCTTCTGATGGTCATGAACTAAACTTTTTCATCCAGGTCCAGTGGTACAGGCAGCTGCTGACAGTGCTGAGACCAGTGTATCTAAAATTCTCCAATTCACTTATAGTGAAATCATTAAAGGAGAACTATGGGGTCAGCGTTTTTCCCCATAGTTCTCCTTAGGCTAACGGGAGGACACAAACTAGCGTCCTCCCGTTACCCTAAGCTCAGTATACCGCGAGCTACTGCTCGTGGTATACTGAGACGCCGCGGCCGGAGCGGATCCCGACTTAGATGACGGGATCCGCCCAGCTGCGTGAGTGACAGCTGGCTCTGCCTATCTAGAGGCAGAGCCAGCTGTACCCGCCCCCTCCCCCGTCTATTCCGCCAGTCAGCGCCGGCAGATCGGAGAGGGGAATCCAGCCCCTCCCCCGTCACGGCAGAAAGCCGTGACAGGATCGAGAGGCGAGCGAACCCAGTATGTGTTCGCTCACCTCCCGATCTACTGAGCCGACCTGTGACAGTCTCATTGTCACAGGTCGGCTAGAACTATGAGGTGAGTGAAAAGCACTCACCTCATAGTTCACCTTTAAACTAACACATGCCCATTGTGGCTATGGGGTTGATTTAACAAAGGCAAATAGGCCGTTCACTTTGCAAGGAAATTTTCCATTAGATTAGTGAATATGGTCAAAATTCACTTTTCAAAGAATACCCAATCACATTCAAGGACACTAAAAAAACAAAACAGTATTTTTGCTTGCACATGATTGGATGATAGAAGTCAGCAGAGCATCAACTCATTTGCTAAGCTAAGGGAAAGATTCTCTTGTAAAGTGAACAAATAATTTGCTCTTCCAATGTGTACAGAAGGGACTTAAGAAAAGTGCTGAATCCAGGTCAATTAACTTACAGCACTGCGCAGGAGAAAGAGTGTGGGCCTAAGCAAGATTTACACCAGACATGTATTTCTCTCCACATTGGAGTTTTCACTTCAACTTAATAATGAAAATATGACACTGTTAAGGTAACTTAAGTATACATTTACATTTTTAAATGTGGCCTACTAATACTGACTGAGGGTAGCAGGTAATTTCCTCCAATAAAAAAATTGTCCTTCCTGTTGCCCATACTTCAATTGTATTATACCTGAGACAGGGAATAGCCATAAACCCCAGCCTACATGACTTTACATTGCAATTAATTTAAAATTTGGAAATGCATGTTTTGACTGTCTGTGAAAATTCTCATTCATCCACGTCATGGTATATCTGTAAAAAATAAGTCAAGGCAACTGGACTTGGTGTATTTTTCTTGAAGATGTTTCAATGGTCATCCAACCAGCTTTCTCAATTCAGAATGACTTGTACAAAAAAATTTCTGGGAATAAACATGGTGAATGTTGCTCCAATCCACATAATCTGTTAGTCATAACCAGGTGTTGATTGTATTTGCATAATTGGAGTCTAGGAGGTGTACCTACACATAAATGAAAAAGGTCACTCCTTTGAAGAAATTCAAGTACGCATCCTAGACAGGGAGGAGGACTGGTTCAAAAGAAGTGTGAAAGAGGCCATTTATGTAAAAATGGAGAAGCCAAGCTTGAATAGAGGTGGGGGGTGAGACATCTATTGCCTGCCACATACAATGCTGTTTTAACACCTCTTTCTGAGCAGTTTAATAACACCTTCTAGACTCCAATTATACAAATGAAATCAACACCTGGTTGCTACTAACAGATTATGTGGATTGGAGCAACATTCACCATATTTATTCCCAGATAATTTGAGAAAGCTGGTTGGATGGCCAGTGAAACGTCTTCAAGAAAAATACAGCAAGTCCACTTGCCTTGACTTATTTTTTACAAATAATGTATTGACTGTTATGCTCTGCTTGAATAAAAGGTAGACCATGGCAATAAATTCCCTTAAAAGTAGTATGTTGAATACCACCTACTTAATACTAACTGCGCTTTGAACATCTAATCCCATGCAGTGGAGTTTTGAAAAAAAAAAAGAAAATAGGAAAGCACCTGAAGATGATTCCCTGTGATATGAACTAACCCTACATTTTCATTGTGTGGCACTATCTTTTTACATACGGTTACAATTTCCTTTAGCTCTGTATGCCACACAATCCACTGATTAAAAAAAAAGACAAAAATACAAACACACACAGAGCTCTGAACAAATAGTTGATTATAAGTATGATTTAGTACCTTGATCTCTATCATGCCATGACCGACTTCCTGCTGCTGGTGAATTTGGAGACGGGTAGAATTCCCCAGTTGGGCTTGGCTCCATGTTTTCATCTATAGAAATTGTTTTGGGTCTTTTACTGTCAATAGAAAAAAAAATGATTGGTGAGTACTTGCATACATCTATAATACTTAAAACTAAGTCAATGTTCTTAATGTGGAAGAAGAGCTTAAAGTAGGACGTAAAGTAGATCCAAGGAGGGAGCCATTGGCCTTGCAAATCTCTGTGAATGTTCATTCTGTGCAAATAGATACACAAAACAAATGTATTTGTATAATAGTATTATAAATCAGTTGAATGTAAATTTAATGTATTTTTGAATGTCGTCTTGTAATTCCACAGTATGGCCACTAGATGGATTTCCTATGCTCCTCATCTCCATCTAGTGGCCATAATGTGGTTTTATAAGATAATGTTTGAAAATACATTCTACATAATGAAAATATAACAAGAATGTTCGTTTTGTGCATCCATTCACACAGAACCAACATTCACAGAGAGTTGCAGGGCCAATGGCTCTACAAGTTGTTTTTTTAACTAGATCCCAAAGTTTTCACTTTGGCTACTGCAGGTCCTAGAGGAGGCAGGGTGTGAGAGTCAAGATAAATTGAATGAAAATGTGTTAAATACCCAATAGAAGACATGTCAGGTTGCCTGCACTCACCTCTTTTGTAAAGACAGAAAGGTATGCGTATTTACCTTGAGCTACCTACTATCAGACATATGACACATTGTTCTTCACTTAATTTAGGAACAGATTTACTTTAAAGAAAAACTGGGCTTCTATGAACATGACCATTTTTAAACCCTCTGTGCGGGTAGAGTAATAGCATAATTACACTAAAAAAGTATTCAAGAGTATCAAGTTCAGCTTCTAACAGCTTCTACAGTTTGGTACAGTACATGGTAAAACAACACTGGAAAACACGTGGAAAATAAAAAAGGGCAAATGCTACTTAAATAGTAAAAAAAGAAATGCTTCACATTATTACACTCCATGTTGATAAACATCTTTTGTGTGTTTGATTTAAAACCTTGTATGCCTTTCCTTTTGGTTTTGTTGTAAGAGTTAGCATAGTTAGTAGGAAAATATTAATGATGTACTCCTTTAAGAGTCATTTCCTTTGTTAGGGATAAACCTTCCACCACTTACAGCTAGAGGATGACCTTGAATGATCTATGATGTCTCTGAAAACTAAAGTCAGTTCAAGTAAGTTTGTTGACCTTGAAAGTTGACTCTTTAAAAGTGTATGAAAATCCCTGCTTTTTAAAACAGTGCTTCACACAAGAACTTCCAACAGGTTAGCTTACTTTTACATCCTCAGTCGAATAACTACCTAAAGTTCAGTTAACACAATACTAACTAATGTAACTATGATTATAATTGGAAGTGTTAAAAGAACGTATGCACAATGATCCCAGACCACCAGGGTTCAGTAACGTATTACCTTCTTGATTAAAGATTTTAAGAGACCATTTGTTCCATTTTATCCTCTAACCAGTCAGATCATTGGAAAAGTGGTAGTGAAAATCCAATGGGGCAATACAATGATCTTGAGTACCTACAGATTCTGTGCCACTGCCCTGCCTACTTTTTGTTCACTGAGCCATAAATGACATTCATCTTGCATTGTGAAGTGACTGAGATACTGTTTTCTGAGATTGTCAGTAATGAATACAGTGTGAAATAGCTGTGGAACTCAAGAAAAATTGTATGGAGGTAGACCAGCTATGATCTGGGACAACAGGCTTCAATGGAACTTTAATTTTTCATCCAGATGTGCAAAGTTGTTGTTTTAGTACAGACCTATTTAAGAGGTTCTGACTCCTCACCATGTGTCCCAGGCTTACCTGTGTCTCCTGAGTGCCTGGAACCCTCATGGCGAGTGTAAGGATGCAAAGCGGCAGGAGATCAGCGAGTATGTCTATGGACAATTTTGGGTACCCTAGTTTATCGCTGTTTCACAGATGCATCCAATTTTGAAACTTTACATATATGGTATCTATAACTAAATGCAACCTTAGCTTTTTATATTTTACCAGAGTAAATTTACCAGAGTTTACCAGGTCAAGTATTTTATTGTGTTTGTGTGCACTAAAATTAGTTTGAGTGTATTTTTACTGAAAATATATATTATAATTGACATGCAAATTATTGTGTGACATACAAAATTGCAACTGTCACCATTATATTCTACAGGGTATCTGCTTTCAGAATATATATATATTGTTATAGGTGTTTTAGATAATCGTAAGACCTTAAATGTGCATGTTAACATGGCTTTAGTAGAGAAAGCGCTAAAGGTAAATTCCAGGCAGATATAACAAGCCAGCAGTTACGCCACTTCTGGATTAATAAAAACTAGTTTACATACTACTTGCATGTATAGTTTAAAATGGACTTCTGTGAAGACATATAATCATAGGTGCTCTCTAACATCTTTACGCCCATGTTATTACTTCCCCCTTACCTGCTAGGTGGAGAGGACAGTGACCTCTGTAAGCTGACAGCTGGGTTCATTTCATGATAGTAGGGCTGGCTTAGTGGCTCTCCAATTGGAAAACTGACTCCAGAGCCTTGTGTTATGGGTGCTAGAGAAAAAAAAACATGATAAAGTGAGTTACTCATGGATCAAGCAATTGATTTTCTTTTAATAGAATTGTTTAATGGATGCACAATTATTATTATTATACAGGATTTATATAGCGCCAACCGTTTGTGCACCGTGTTACAATATAAAGAAGATATTACAGTTACAATACAAATCAGGGCAAGATGGTAAGGAGGGCCCTTCCCTTTGAGAGCTTACAATCTAAAAGTAAACAGTTGGTTCTTGACCTAAATATAACAAGCTTTAAATACGTCAGCTGGCTATAATTATTATTCACTTTATAAAACTAATTCTGGTATATATTCCTTTTAATCAAAATTCAGCAGCTTACCTTATGGGCATGGACATGGCTTTAGAATTTGATTCTAGGGTCCCCAGATTGACAACAGCAAAACTCTGATACTATAGGTCCCTACTTTAAAAAGACTGTTCACCACTAATCAAAGGTACATGTTGCTTGCTGTACATTCCGTAAAATGTGTACTTTATTCAGGATATCTGGAACTATGTGATTGAATTCCACCCTATCTAAAACATACTGGTGCCCTGTACAGCTAGTGTCATCAGAGTCCTTGGAAAGAACAGCCAAATCACTTCTTCTTTGTTTAAAAAATGATGGTGGCCCTAATTTATGCAAAGTGCAATTATTTCCCGATGAATCATTAATTGGATGTGAAAGCTGGCTCCTTTTCACTCAGGGAACAATGTTTCCAAGCTACAGTATGTACTGCATGAGGGACATCAATCAGTGCTGCCGGGTCAAATCTCTGGGCCCCACTAAACTCACTACACGCAGATAGTCTTTTCAATTAGCCCTGCTGGAAAGAGAGATGTTGATGACAGAGGTGGATTCTTTGCATATTTGGATGAGCAGCAGAGTGTTTTCTCATATATCTTTTTGAGAGATGCCTATTAAAAGCTGCCCTTATACCTGGGAGAAGAACACAGCTGCCAGCTCAAATGGCTTAATATCCACAAACTATTTTAATCCCCTATTTAATAGGGACCAAGAGTAAACAAGGTCCCTGGAGAAATGCATAGTGTGAATAAGGCTTTTCATGTGTGCTACAAACAAGCCGAAGCACCGGTGTTGAGTACTTCAAGCATGGCATGCCATGTGGGAGTGATAGCTGACTATTACAGACTGGTAAAGCACACCATGGTCTCTTGTGGTTTGAGGTAAACTAGAGGTTAAACAAATGCTAGATGAAAGAAGCCTGCCTCAACCACAAACCAGATTCTATTATTAGATAAGTTACACGTGCAAATGCCACAATGAGCAGGGTGTTATGATCTTGTACCCCTTCATTACAAACCTGCAGCCATAAAGGCCCTGAATCAGGGCATATATTTTTCAGCATATCATATCTGCATGCTTCTTCTGCATGTATCAATATTACTGCAATAAGCCACATATTATCAAATCTACTGAGAAGATGAGCTGTGAAATATATACTATACGTCATATTTAAATATTACAAGGCATGTGCATATAAAAGTGGTGAAAAAGACAACAGAAATACAATCTGATTGTGAAGAATTAAAAGTGATAGGATCCACCTTCTTCTTGCGATGTTAACATGCAAGCACTGTTTTGTGTATAGCACGATTTTGATACCATTTCTCAAGAAGTCTTGAGCACTTTGAGTGATAAATGAGGTGAAAGCCTATTTCACATTCCAGAATTTCACATAAGGGCTGGTGATGGGGAGACCATGAAATTAATGGGACTTCATCCTGGTTTTTAAATTACTTTTAATTTAATTTGTTCATCATGATCTATAGGAGCATTATCATTCTGGAATAAGGAGACATAATGCACGAACAGTGTTTGCACCACAGGGCTGCACCTGGTTCTGTTAAATGGCCTCCTGTTCCTTGGATATTATACCACCATGTGGAGCAATCCTTAGACCTAATTACTCCCTTGAGATGGTTCCCCAACCGCTGTAGATCCCCCACCAAGTTTATTAGCTGACAACAGACATGGTGCGTTGAAGGCACCATTTGGTATTCTCCAAACCTATGCCTGTCCAGGTGTAGAAAACATTGTTTTGTGTAAGAGATGACTCATTAGTTCATATTCATTCTATTGTTCACAGGAACAGGTTTTGTTCTCTTTATACCATGTTTTAGCTGTCTCGGTGTTGGCCTTAGATACACATGACATTATTTACAGCTAGGTAACAAAGGTGGTTATTTAATTTTATGCTGCCTTTACTTTTGTGGCAATTTCAAAGTTTTTTTGACTACTGCACCTGCAGCTTGGGCACCAGCTATATGGATTTTTTTTAAACCCTGTTAGATGCTCATATGACTTCCAACACTCACATATCATTGTGCTAGTATAAATACCTCTTTTTATAACTAATATAGACTGCTCCTTTGAAATCAGCCTACAATGATAGCTAACCTGTGCAAAGTTTTACTGTTCACTAAATGGGTCTGTAAAGAGAGAAAAGGTAATGCTTCTTAAGACCAACTCCCGTCAAAACTTGTGAGATTGCCCTTGAACAAGTAAACAGATCAGTAAATTTGACGCTTTTTGTGGCACACATTTACAGCATGCATACGCTAGGTCTGTGACTAAAAAGTATTAATGACAGACAGCAGCATTTTCAGCCAACCAACTAGCATTTTCAGAAGCGACCAGCTGCAATAGTAGCCCCTGCACTTCTCTAAAGTCCTGCCTACAGGCAAACACATCAAGATGACTTTGTTTGCCGAGAAAGCTTCATCTGTGCCCTTTGCTTTGTTTCAAGGGTCCAAATTTCTATTACTAAACAAACAGTCATTCTAGTTCTAGCCATCACTTTCCCTTAGAATTTTTAGTCATGGAACAAATTTGCCCCTGCCCACGTCCATCCTACATTCTCGTTTTCCCCAGTTATACTCTAACCATGGCTACTTTCCTCATGTAATTAGACACAAGCATATCAAACCAGAATCATACAAAAATAGCTTACTGTGTCTTTTGACATAAGTCTCATGAACATATACAGCCTAAGGCAAGTGCCATGGATTGAAAAGATTTCCATTATGTTATTGTGTTTTTTTTTCTTAAAAAAATAGCTAGCAGTTTACATAACAGACAGCACTTATTATCAATACTGTTAGAAAAGCTGGAATTTGTTTTCACTTTTTAACACCATCATCCTGCCGTGAAAAGGATGTATGTCATCTTCACTTTCCACTATGATAGCAGGAAGGAAATGTTTTATAAATCAGTGCATTTTATGGGATGCGCGACATTGCCCTTTTAGACCTTACATGAGGGTAAAGAAATGTTGTAGCTCTTTCAGCATTAGTTTTCGAGTTCCCTAGGAAGACGATGAACAGAAAAATGTGTGTCCAGTTGACAATGTATGAAAAAACACTATAAAGATTAAAAAACTATTAAGAATGTTTGTTTTTGTAAAGAATCATGCAGCTAATGATACTGTCCTGCTTACACCAGGCTTTCTGCTTTAAACCTACTGAAGAATCTGTGGGGACAACCACTGGTAACAGCAAACAATGATGGCTGACACAAAGCTGAGCAACTATAATATAAATAAAATGCAAAACATCTTGTATTCAATCCAAAAATAGGAGGCAGGATTCTGGTCAAGGGCAAAGGTTAGAACCTCTGTCATGTTTTCATTGTTGTGTCCCCATTGGGGCCATTTTGCCCCACCAATTGCATGGGAAGTGAGCAAAATCTAACAGGGACACAGACAGAGTAGTAATTGAGTAGGGGTGGGTTAGAAGCTCTGTTAGCTTTGTGTTGATGTCTTTATTACCATTGGGTTGATTTCTACTCACTTCCTGTCTCAGTGACTGCACAGGAAGTTGGAGGAAATCTCCCCAAAGGGAAGGCCCACAATAAAGCTTTGACTGGTTCTAAACCTTCCCCTTATTATCCAAAACTAGAAAAAAAATATGTTTCTAGAGTTGTTTTTTAATGCTGCTGTATATATTAATCATTCTGAAAGTTGAACATGCTGGAGGTCACCTAGAGAAAAGTCAGGCTTTGGAGAATGCCAATCTTTACTTACTTCTAGACACCCGCACTAGCTCTGAAACATTGAAAACTCCAGACTTTACAAAACTGTCTTCAAGGTATCCTAGAAAAATGAGTAAAAAATGTTATTGCTTTACTGTCTGGAAAATTATCGTTGAAAAAATAACTAATGACGAAACAAGCAGAAATAACATGTCAAAAAGACAATATAGCAGATTTCTGTCTGTCAAAAATTCACACAGGCAAAACAATGGGTGAAACACTGTACAACAGCAGATTTAATTGGGTCTGATATAAAAAGGAAACAAGGAACCAGGTGGTACTTTCATGTTCCAACTTGCATTACATAATCCATCTAGTAGGTTAACACTTTTCTCTTTGGTGTGTATATATATATAACTGCTGAACTCATGCTATGCCCACTGTTCACAGGTACCGAAGTATGAAGAACAAACAAATGCTTTGCTTGTAGGGAATGCTCTATGATCTTTTCAGTGTGCTATAATACTTAAAATGTGATCCTAAATATTTCTACTAAAAGGTGCTGGAAAAAATATTACCCAAAACGCATGTGTACCAAATGCAGCCAACTGTACTGAAAATATTGGATATTGTTTAAATATGTGAACTTTTTCTTATCCCTAGATCAAAAATCTGGGTGTGTGCTCAAGATTCCATGGCTTTATGCAACGGTGTAAATAATAGATTTATGAATAGTATCCAGAACTTCGGGCTAGTTCATTCCAGATGCAGTTGTGATGCAGTCCGTTCAGTTTCACAGCTGCATCAAAATCGCGTCACAATGCTTTCCACTGAGATTTCTGGTGCTCTGTTCACACCAGTGCAGTCAGTTCGGATGCAGTCAGAAAAAAATCCTGCTTGCCACATTTTAGCTGCACCTGAGCGCAACAGAATGCATCAAAACGCGTCAAAATGCACGCAAACACACTGGACTGCACCTGAAAGCCCATTTTAAGCTAAAAAGAAAAAGCATAAAAATTGCGGTAAAAACACGTCAAAGCGCATTACACTGCAGCTGCGCAGACGCACACAGTTCTGATGTAGTTATGGTGTGAACTAGCCCTCACTTGTCAAGTTCTAGCAGCCCGTGAGCAATGCATTCAATACCCTGCAGGTCAAACTATTAATCAAGAGCAGATAAAAGGGCACAAAACTTTACACCCAGTGCAAAGCACTCCTACAACAAAGGTTACAACTGTGCTCATAGCGTGTGACAGCAACAAATCACAAAGACAGGCTACATTGCGCCATCACAGTCATTCCATAGGAACTGGTTTAAAGTAAAGAAAAATAGGTTTGGAGGAAAGCTGGCATAAGAAAAATATGTAGGCTGACATTACTGACCTCCTTCAGAAAAAGCTATTTGCCTGGATGTCTTGTTATACTGATGCTCAATGTGCAACTAAAGCCAAATTTGTTTAGTTTTTTCAGATAAAGTGGAGGAGGATTAGAACACCTGTCAGGTGTTTAATTGTTGTATCTCCATTAGGGAAGTCCCCCCTCTTTATTTCTTGTTGTGATCATCACCCCCCCCCTCCCAAATTGTGGATTGTCACCAGAACAGGAATAGATGGGAAATCTTCCCATGGTTCTGTTGACCTTGATAACCACCAGGGATTTTCCTCAATTTAGAGGGATTCCCTCTCACTTCCTGTTATGACTATGGGACAGAATGTGAAGGAAAATCTCCCCAATGGGACAGAGATGGCAAAATAGCTGACAGACATTATAACCCTCCCTTATCCAAAACTAAAAAAAAATTGTTGGCATAATTTCTACTTTAAGTTTTAATGATTTATGAGTCACCGATCTGGAACCAGCATAGATTTCTGACTTTTCTCTCTAATTCATGTTTCAAACTTGTTCTTTATATATTAAAGGCAGAGATAGCCAGATAACTAATATTTTAAAAAGAAGGACATCAATGGCAGCTGCCATAGTTTTGCCATGACAGGTGTAGTTCAAAGTCGGGCTGGACAATTCCCAGGCCTCATGGCGACTGACATTTTTTTCTGGCGACTAGATAATTGAGAGATATTGCTGGTGGTATGGCAGGAGGTGCAATGCCAGGGCTATTGTTAAGGTTTTGCTGTTTTTATGATGCCAACACACAGTCTGTTTCCTGTAATGTGATCTTTATTTCATGTACTGTCATTTTGACAGATGATGATGTCGGTGTGTCATGTGACCTTGTTACAGCAGCTGATGTCATTCAAAATGTGATGTCATTGTTGTGCTATCCATTAGCATTACACCAGTTGACAGTGTTAAACTGTGAAAATTTGGAAATTAATTTACTTGTTGGGTAAGTAAATATTTTTCTTTTCTTTTAAATTGAAGTTGATTGCAAATGTTTATCTAATTGAGAGAGAATCGCACAACCCTTGGATCTAGTAAAGGACTGTGTGGCTACAAATCAACATTCATGTTTACTGCCCAATGATACCCTCACCCAAAAGACACGGCTGTCTGATATTTAAAATTGATTTGATTAACATGATGTCATAATTGAGTCCTGGTCGTCTGACTGTGTAATTCCACAAGGCCGATGGTTGTCAACTTACATGGGACTCAGTTTCTCCAAGGAGCCATACTTATTATTAAGTATATGTAATGCTGGAAGAGGCAGTCAGAGACTGCATACGTGCTAGAGAAAATGGTCATAGACTGCAGTTGTACTATAGCAGACGATAAGAGACTGCAGACGTACTAGGTGGGACAGACTAATGAGGACATACCCATGGGGAAATGCCCTTGCCCAAATGCTGTCAGCTCCAGGACCATGGCTTGCCTGCCTGGTGAAAGACAGGCACAGCTATCACAATGCAGACAAGCCACTGGAAGATTTGGCACTTTCTGTTCTCCTGATAAAGTAATAGTCTGTTCAGTATTTTTATTGCTAATTTTATTTGTTAAAATAAAGTCTGTTAAAAATTAACAGAACAAAAGTTTTCCTTTTCAACAGTTGCCTAACTTAGTATCTTTCAGCTACCTATATAGACATTTGCAGGTTGCATAGTGCAGGCTCCTAAATTTTTAAAGCTAGCTTCTAGCTATCTTCTTGATAAAATTTGTCCAGGCTTCGTTTAAAGTCCTATAAACAATAAAATCATATTTTTCGATCTCTGTTCACTGCACATGCTATGCACTTTGCATTTATGATGTAATACTGTTAAGACAAAAGTGTAAAAATAATATTGTGACGTTTTAGAGTTAGAAAAATAGAGCTCAAAATGTTTTTGAAATATCAAGGAATGGTTTATGTTATAGGTAATCTTGCAAATATTAACATAAAGTATGAAATTCACCACTTTATAACAATGAGTCAGGCAAGGGGTCTCAGGGTTTTGAGGGCACTCAGATAACAGTGATTTTAAACAGCAAACATCATGTTTCATTACTAACAAGGCAGCTAGCGGCCAGTCTTTTCTGATGTACCCACATCAAAAGCCTATTTATGTCCTTTTATTAAAATGTCCCTGTTAGCTAGGATAATTGTAGGTATATATGAGAAATGTTATGGAAAATATAGGCCTCGAGGAAAATCTATATTAAAAATAGTGTCGGAAAATGAATGACACCCTTTCTAAATAGCTTTACCTTTTAACCATTAATATATAAAATTATTATTATCTATTATTAAATTTAAAATATGAGGGTATGAGTACAGGTTCTGGTTCTAATAGATCAGGTTGCATCAACATATCATTTAGGTAAGTCTTTCAAGAATAATTCCTACCCAGCCCAGGCCAGTGTAGTAAATACTTTATTTGCATTTAGACTGTCTGCAGACCAGGAGAACAACAAAGAACATGTATATCCTACATACCTGTCCGAGTTAATGTTAGGAACCATAAGCGATGATTCCTATACTGCACTGCACTCCTCTAATCACCAGACCAATAGATCACAAACTGCCAAAAGAAGGTAGCCCTGCAAAATTTAAATGAGCCCTGTCCATTTTATGAGATTCCAGCCAACTAGTTGTGGAAAGCAGAATGCAGATCTAGAACCGGGATGACTTTCTTTTTTTCAGCCCTGGTCTGCAGATGTGTTGCTCTGTACATTGCAAAGTGCTAATTGTACACAGACTAAATTCCAAATAGAGTTACATTTACACTGCCCTGGGCCTGAGATAGTTATCAAAGCACAGTTAAAGAAAATCAAAGGTAAAAGGTCAAATTTCCATAGTGGCTTGCTGTCACTGGTTATAGCAAAAGTGCTAATGTGTTTTAGAACTAAATGTTTTCTAATTAGGGGCATAAATAATGGCCAAGATGTAAAGTCAACAACAAATTGGCTAGGTAAATGGTCCAAGCAGGACAAGGAAATGCTGGCCACAGTATACTAAAATGAGAAGTTACAGTTTTCCTGGGCAGACGGATCTAAACGGACGGGCGTCTGTTTACATCCTTTAATCCCCACACACTAATATGGGTCTGGTCACACCGGTGACATCCGTTCCAATCCGGAGGCGATGCGTGCAGGGATCCTCTCCTGATTGGACAGTGTGAAAGGAGCTGCAGATTTTTAGTACAAATTAAAAACAAGTAACTACTGTATTAAAATAAAGCTAGAATCCCACTTGTTAAGGGATATGCAGATCATTTTTTCTTGAGACTTTTCTGATAGTTACAGCCTTCTGGGGCTAATTACTGCTATACTTAGTAAAACGGAAGGCCCTCAGTCTTGCAATTTTTTTGTTTGTACAAATGCTCCATTTGATTAATAATGGGATCTGTCTTTCAGAAGCCACATCTGTGTCTTAACATTGAAGCAAACTATTACTTTCTACAAAATGCAAAAATAAAACATACTGCATATTTATTTTGAAAAAGTACTGGAAAAAAAACATTGTTTAATGAGAAAAAAAAAGTGAACTCAAACTTCACAGATTAAATAGCATGAAAGAAAATGACCATAAAAACCACAAGAAGCTTGTAAAGGTCTACGCTAACAAATATGTATGACTGAGAAAGGGAACTTGAAGCAATGTGGTTTAGAATGCATAGCCGTTTAAGTTCTTTCCTCAATTCCGGCTTCCCGCATTTGAAGTGGTGAGGTCGTTTATTACAAAACACTAGATCAGTAGACAGCCCATGTTCCCCTTGTCTCTTTCACTCACACCCACACTTCTTCATCCACTATGTAAACATATTTCCAGACAACTTTTAAACAGTAAGCCATTTAGACCTACTGCTTCTGATGGACTGTTCAAACTTTTTGGTGTTGTTTGGAAAACGTAGGTAAATAAATAAGGCATGAGATAAGTGATTTTTTTTTTATAATAAACACACAGTGCTTTTTATCTGCAATGGAAACACAAAAATGTAAAACAAGGGAGCACAGTGATTTTTTTTTTTTTCATACCCGAATAACTGTGTACTTAGTTCTATGAAGCTGCTAGTAAAATCACAGAGAGTAAGCTCAAGAGTATGAATCTCATATTTTATAAAAATTACCTCTCAAGTTTTAAAAGGAAGCTGAAGGATATATTAAAGAAATACACAAAATATAAACCAAGCACTGAAAATCATGGTCCACACTGTCACTAAATAGCACTTCAGCTGCAATAAAGTGAAACTTCCATTTTGGAAAGAGTGGAAAAGGGTTGGAACCTCTGTCATATTTTACTGCTGTCTGGGTCATTTCACTGCTGAAAAAGATTTTCACTTGCTATCTTTCCCCTGTTCTGGTGACTACAGTTTCTGGTACAGAAAGTGACAAGAGGCAAAAATCAATAAAACATGACAGAAGTTTAAATCCTCACCCACATTTTTTTATATCTCTATCTTACTAATACAGGAAATGAGGGAAGTCCTGCCCAATGGGAATTTATTTATTCTTAAAGTGGAGCTGGAGCTCCACTTTAAAACAAGTAGACAATGAAGCATGGATCTCATTTCATATATACTTTTATTGTGGCGCTGCCCTCTTTGTGTGAAGCCCCAGCCTTTTAACCCTTTCAAGCCATCCACATAAGGGTTACAGAGGAACAGAACTGCTTGCAGCTAGCCAACTCAGTAGCCCTTACGGTGCCTGCATTTCCTTCTGACTTAAAAATAACAGCTAGAATCTGATTAGTTGCACAAATGTCTTTTATTTTAAGCAGGACTTTAAGCAGGAAATTGTCCTTCCATGTACCTAATTAATAAGATCCCCTTATTAAGTGTGACTCCACTTTGCTTAAACGGTCCGCTTTAAATTGCCATAAATCGACCTAATAATGGGTGACAGACTTAAAACAAGTATGTAGATAAGAAGTTCTGACTCCACTTTGGCTTTCTGCATTCTTGTTCAAAAGATACTGCAACCAGAGAAAGCCAGGCAATTAGCATTCTTAGAAGGAGGTCAGCAATGGTAGCCTCTATTTCTTTCAGTATAGAATGTCTAACTTCTTTTGCTCTGACATGAGCTAATATTAACTATTTTTTTTTTCTTTTCTTTTTTTTTTTACCAGAAATGACTCTCCTAAGATAGTACACTACTACATTACAAATAAGAAAGCAATGCACAGTATAATTAGATTGATGAACTAATAACCACAATTTAGGGTAACAAGACATGACCTGAAATTGATCAGACCAATAGTATTTTGTGTTAACTAGACTATAGGACTGATTTCTCAAGTCTGAAGTTGATCTGTGGCCAGGCTACGAACATTCAAGTATTTACATATTTTTAACAAACAGTTAAGTACTGAAGTTGCCCAAGTGTTTCTCTCAGCACCTCAGCTCACCCTATTCTCCCTCTCCACACTAAATCAAAAGCCTTCCCACCTTCTAATTTCTAATGTAAACACAGAGCAGGTGCTCTGGCAGGAGGGAGCAGGGTAAGCTGAGCTGCTGGGAGAATGACTTGAAAAACTGCAGTGCTTCTTTGAGGGTGAATTGCATCATAGTACCTGCAACTACAGAGGTCTGTGAGGAATTGTTTTAAAGATTATCTACTGATTGTGAAGAACATGTCAATACTTAAATGTATATAGTCTGGCCAAAGGTTCACTTTATATAATCTTTCTGTAATAATAACCTATATGCATCACATAAAGGTAAAAATTGGGCAAAGCATTATGGGTTTTAGTTAAAAGCTCAACTTCTCAACCTTAGCAGTAGAAACTCCTTGAGATTAGCTGAATCTTAATGAAGTTGTGGTTAAAGTACCGGTTACAATGAAAGAAGTAACATAATCACTGCTTGTCCCAATTATACCCATTGCCCATGCAAAGCAGATTGCTGACCAATTATACACGTTGAAGGTATCACAGTACCACTTTTGTTCACAGGCATTGTTAGAATGTAAATTTTCCATGGGCGATATTTACCTGGTGGATTCTTGGCAGGATCATTGTGGCTTGGGCTTCCTGATTGTCCAGGATCTGCAAAGAAATAAAAAAAAAAAAAAGGTAAATGTTTTGTGTTACATCAACATCACTTTTTTTTAACTCTCTTCCTAGAATGTTAATGAAATGTCGAAAGTAAAAGAACAGATGCAATTTCCCTTGTTTCGCTAGACAAATGTGTGGAGTAGATTTCTAGGTATAGATGAGTTGATTACATTGTATAAGAAGCTTTGCATAATTAGACTTTCACATTAATTACTTTTTCACATGATACAATACAAACCTTTAATTCAATCTAAAAATGAAGAAGAAAGCAAAAAAGAATGGTAATAGCAGGAGACTGAATATGGCTGTCACTTTATGGGTCTATTTTTGGAAGTTTGTAGCAGCAACAGGGGCGAGTCGCCACAAACAGTCTGTAAGAAGAATGCCACTGAAGTTTTTGAATAATGTATTAGAATTTCACTAAAACAGCTTCCAGAGCCAATAAAACGTAATTAAATCTTTAAATGAATGAGCAATTAACACACCTGCATGACAATGTTTTAGAAGCTTATCAAAAAAGATAACCAAGTTAAAGTTCAGATTCCTGGAGAGGCGTTTTCCAACAAACAGCCTACTTCCTGTCAAGTAAAGTCATTGGAGGAAAGCAAGTCTAATTTATAAACCATCAGATGAAAAAATAGTTAGATTTTAAATTGTGAATTTACAGTTTAAATCTGGATGTCCCATATGCACAGTATGGGACCATACTTAGGAGGACAGATTTATAAATAAGGCTCAAGAGTGGGGTTTCTACAAAACATTCTCCAGTCCAAAATATCCTACAGGATAATATAAAGCTTTGGTTGAACAACATATGGAAATATAATGTGAAATAGCTTTGATATGAAAAATATATAACAGGAAATATGCTAGGGTTACTAGCTTTTAACAAATTATTTCAAATCAAGCTTTAATTGCTCGAGACATACACAATAGATCAATGAGAATAAATACTATGCAAAGCAAACTGATGATGAACCCATGGGATGATGAGGAAATGTATTTCAAACGTGGGAAAAGGAAGGGACACCTTCTTATAAAAATAAGCAAATAGTGCTGCAACCCTCGTTATCACTTGTACAGTTATGGGATATAGCTGACATGTTAATCTATGACTAATACTATACCCTGCATACAAGGTTAAACTGATGTGTATACAATTGTTAAGAGCCATGTCAGTTGTAAACTATTGCTTTGGGTTTGAAATGTCATGACATGTGACAATTCAGAGCTAAATCGGGGGTTTATGATACATGCTGGAAAGTTTCTTCGTTCCCACATCAGATTTTTGGAAGTATGGAACTCATTTTAGGTGGGCTGACCACAAGAAACCAATAAAAGCAAGTGTTGAGAAACATACAAGAAACTACACTTGTATGCCACATTGCTAAGTATTGGGAAGAAATAGAGTGCTAGATGTTTGATGATAGACTTAGGGGTCTATTCACGAAGCTGCCGAAGGATCTTAGTCCGTACAGCTCCCGATCATGGCCGAGCGGCTCAGCCGAGCCGAACGCATATGCATCGGCTCGGCTGAGCCGTGCTGAAAGCCGAAGCTGGCCAGGCAGTCGGCCGACAGCCTGCTTCTGACAGCTGGGCGG